TAGGTTGATGAACAAGCCTTTAGTATATGGGTCTTTGGGAAATAGTTAATAATGACAACATTCATAATGTTTAAAAAGGAGATAGGGATGTGGTTTAGTAGATTTATATTCCACCTCTAGTCTGGTTGAGTCTACCTTGTAAAGAGAGGAAGAGATAGAATGGTAATGACATTAAGTTTGAGGTTCAAACTGGATGTTACCAACTGAAAGTATTGCTGGGTTCTGCCCCAAATGAGACTAATGAGCAGGAAAGGAAGATCTAGCAGCACATGATTGAAGGCAGTGATCAGGGAAAATTTTTGTCTCCTACTGAGTTGAAATTGCCCAGTGAATACATAAGTGGAAGCTCATAGGAATGGATGGCTGGATGGAGAAAATGAGAAAAAGGAAATTTGAGAGTGCTTTTCAGATTTTTGTCTTAAAATCACATTCTACTGGCAAAGCCAGAATATACTTGGAACATGTGTAGTTGGTGTAGTAACAAATATTAAGAGTAAATGTTAGGGACCATGAAGATGAGGACATCCCTTGTGTCTTGTCAATACTTTACCTCTCTGGTGTCTTGAAGTGAGAAAGGTCTGTGTGGATTTTATGGTTTTATGAGTGAAAAGGTGTATCTTCTTGTACTTTATATCTTGGATATGTATACCAAGCACCAAGAAAAAAGAATCAAATTTGGAGAAAATGGGGGTTCGGGAGAGAGAAGTGGGGGAGGTGGGAGAGGGAAGGGATAGTGGGAGAACAAGGGGGGTAACAAGAAATGTAGTCATTGCCTTAGTCCTGTAACTGTCACCCCTCTCTACAGCTTCTTTACAATAAAATATTTTTTTAAAAAAAGAAAACATGTATTCAATCATTGTATCTCACACTTGTACCAATTAAAGGCGAGTGTGGGTTTAGATATTCCTTGGACTGCTATTCCTTTGCTTTTCTTTCTCCTGGCACAGAAGAATTGAGACCTCAGCTGACACCCTGCCTCCCCCCAGTTCATCCCACTCTCTCTGGATCTGGTTAGGTCTCAAAATTTTGCCAGGAAAACTGAGTTTTCATGAAGAAGATAAGTAAAGAAAGGAGATACAAGCAAGAGGTTGGTTTTGACAACTTCTTCCTTAGGAAAGATGCCACATGCTCATGATTTTTCTCATCAGAGTTATCTTATCTACTACTGTTCCCTTCTTGATTTTAGTGTTGTATTTAATATCACAGTGGTGTGAGATCATAAGACAGTCTCTACATGCTTTTTCATTTGGATAGCTATTATTTTATATGATCAGAGGCACATAGGCATTGTGCCTTTGTGTTCCTCCCTAAAAGTATCTAGATGTGTGTGTGTGTGTGTGTGTGTGTGTGTGTGTGTGTGTGTCTTTACAGGAACAGTACATCTTTTCAAAGAGAATGTTTAAAACACAGCCAAAGAAGAGCTGGAAAGCTTACATGTTTTCTATTCCAATGCACTTAAAACACCATCATCTCTTTATCACATGTGAAAATTTAAGTTATCACAACTCTTTTAGAAGAGAAATTCTTTGGGTAGGTTATTTGAGACTTCAGTTTAAATATGTCCTAACTAAAGAAAATACAATAAAGTATGATTATACTCTTCCTAGGGGATAGACAAATTGGAAATTTTATTTCTATAGAGGATCCGACAGTATTTTAAGCTTTTTAGGCCAAAAGGTCTCAGCTCAACTTTGGTATTATAGGGGAGAAAGAATATTTACATAATATGTGACTGAATGGTTCAGTTGTTTTCTAAAAATTATTGTAAAGCTCAGTTATTTTTAATAAAACTTTATGGATTTTTTTTTAGTTTTATGTGTCACAATATTACTGATTATTTCCAGCTTTAAGAAAATTGTGACCATGGAATGGTGGTATAAGCCTATAATCACAGTTCTTGGGAAGTTTGGGCAGGAGGATTAAGTCTGTGGCTAGCCTGGTTTACATACTGGTAAAAACCTGGTAAAAACTCTGTTTCAATAAAAGCAAAGAAAATAAAAGCCTTTCTGAGTCCACAGGTTTAGTAAAACTCCATGGCAACCTGCATTTGGGCCTTTTTTAACTTGCCATCCTCTCTTTTAATCGGTTCATTTATTCTATTACATATAAAGTCTTATGGGAGTGCTTTGTTTACAGAGATGCCATTTTCTTTGACAATGCACTAAATCACAGGGGAAAAATCTTTTTTTAAAACCTCTTAATGCCCCAGGTAAGATTGCTAGGAAGTGCTCACATTTTTAGATAGCTTTTTCTCCATCTCTGTCCTGCAGCCAGCAATTCAGTCATGACAAACCCAAACACCGACATATTATTTCTTTTATCATTCTCCCAGCACCGAAATCAATTGGACCCATCACAAAGGCATGTTTCCAGGAGAAAACAAAATGCAACTTCTAGTAAGCCCAAATGTGGCACTTCAGGATGTAAGCTGATTGAAGAGCCTGCCTAGATGGAGTATGTCCATGTTGACACAGCTAGAATTGATTCTAAATGGTGACATTGTAACTCCCTCCCAAAAGTTCTCTAAAACCAAGTCTTTGCCTAGTTTGTCATGGTAGCCCACAGAAAGATTAGAGTCACTGCCACTTGTTCCAGTTGGAGGGTGAAGTCTCAGGACCTATTCCTACATGGTCTTTGGAGATCTGGATATCCTACAAGTCCAGGTATGAGTTTCCCATCCAGATTGAAGGTGCCAGTTATATAAGTCTGAGATTAAAAAAACTTTAGACCTAGTAATTTATAAATAATATAAACTTATTTTTTCAGAGGTTGGAAAATCCAAAATCAAGGCCCCAGTGGATTCAATGTCTGGTGGCTGTCCCAATTCTCATATACAATTTCTTCTTCTTCCTCCTTTTCTTTTTTATTTTTTGTACTGGTTCTCAGACTTGAACTTAAGGCCTGAGCTTTTTTTTGGCTCAAGGCTAGTGCTCTAGCACTTAAGACACAGCTCCACTTTTGGCTTTTTTGGTAGTATATTGGAGGTAAGAGTCTCAAGGACTTTCTTGCGCAGGCTGTCTTTGAAATGTGATCTCTCAGATCTTGGACACCTATGTAGCTGGGATTACAGGTGTGAGTCCCTGGTACCGAGTTGACAGTACTTTCTTGATGCCTTCTTACTTAGGAAAAGAACCAATCCTTTCCATGTCTAACTAAAAAAATATATATATTTTTATATTGCCATTTTTTGCAAAATGGCTTTATTAATGTAGCACATTTTGTTGAATATTTGTTAAATGAATGGGTTGAGGACTGACCATGCAAGTAATTTTTCTTTTTCTTTCTTTCTTTTTTATTGGGATAATACTGTACAGAGGGGTTACAATTACATGGGCAAAATAATGAGTACATTTCTTTTTTATGGGGGGGGGGTCCGGTCGTGGGGCCTGAACTCTGGGCCTGGACACTGTCCCTCAGCTCTTCAGCTCAAGGCTAGCGCTCTACCACTTGAGCCACAGTGAAACTTCTGGCTTTTTTCTTTTTGCTTATGTGGTGCTGAGGAATTGAACCCAGAGCCTCAGGCATGCAAGGCAAGCGCTCTATCACTGAGCCACCTTCCCAGCCCCTAGTGACTACATTTCTTATCAAGCATTGTAGCCTCCTCCTTTGTTTACCCTTCTCATCCCTTCCCATCCTCCCTCCCCCCACCCAATCCTCCCCCCCCCAAGTTGTAAAGTTCGTTTTTGACATGACAACTTATACGTCTCACTGTTGTAACATGTCCATCTGTATCTTTAAACGACTTGTTTTTCCCCATCTCTTCCACATATTATACCAACATCAAATACAATGAAAGCAGGGGTTATACTGTGGGGGAAGGACATACAAAGCAACAAAGAAATAATTTTATAA